GATTTGGGCGTCATGTTTTTGTCTCGTGTGTGTCTTCGGTAGTCATAACACAGGAGAAAATCGTTAAAATTGAATTGTCTATTAAAAACAAAAACGTGATTCCTAACATATGTAATTACTGAATAAAAGAAGATAGTTATCCATTCAGGTCATGTTAGTTTATTCCCATTTTGATTTAGGTAACGGTCTCGTTAGATTCTGCATATACCTACTAGTTTGCATCTAATAAAGTACAGCCTTGTTGTGTAGATCGATTGATGTACATGGAATATCTTATAGTAATATCACGCCTCACATTCTTTGATTACAGAATAAAGAAACTGTTTATTGAAATAATCTATTCAACCTTTAAAATCACAGGCCTTTCGAATTTCAAATAATAGCTTAATGGTTTCCTAGTAAACTTTCCATTGGACCGGTCTCATCGTGGACGTTCTAATTTAGCATCTTATTCAGAGAAATATATTGATTAACAAACTTTAAAAAAAAAGAAAAAATAATTAAAACCATTCTAATTGAAGATGATTTTAAAAATCTGAATTGTAAAAATATGCTTAATATACGACTGGTAATAGCAGTATTTTGATTTTATTAAATTTGGTAGCTAGCATTTTACAATTAAAACGAATTCTGCTCACACCAAAATGTTAAAAGTTGCATTGTGTAGTGGTAGGCTAGCAACATTGCCGAAGATCCCGATATCCAAAATATGTTCCCTCGGAATTTGATTCTAAAATCGAATTACCTTAAGTCTCTTTGCATGTAACTGTCGATGTGTAGATTTTAGATGCATTCCATATATACGTTTTCGGCCCGTATTCGATTCCAGACCATACCAAAATGCATTGTAATTGTCTTGCATGAATATTTCGCTCGTTAGGAAAACATACCCTACAGCTGAACAATAGAATGTTACATCTCACGCAAAACAAACTTCAATTTTTTTAAATTACACTTCCTTTGTTTTCGTAAAACGGAACTTGGTTTTGTACGAAAACAATAGTAATAGCTGAAATCGGCATTCATCAGCAAGTTCTGCTATATGTAGTATAATCAATTAAAGGTTTCAGTGGAGATTGAGATGGGATGCTATGTCTGTTCCCCGAAAAGTCAAATTAGAGTCCGTACTGGGTAGCGTGACATTATAATATGCACATGAGACTTTTTTTTCCGTATATTGGCTGTCCTTAATAGATTAGTTTCGCTTATGCGTTGAGTAGCGGCTGAGCTACAAACCCTGGCATTGCTGAAGTCCTGAGCGACATTTTTTTTCTAACCTACGGCTGCGCTGTACCTTTGTCGGTTTTAGAAAGAAGAAACTACCTTGTTGTAAAAAGAAAAAAACAAGTCATCATCACATACATATAAATATGTATATCGACGCTTGAAAGGCAAACATGACTAAGCGACAATAACTGCTTTGAACATAAATGATTGGTTTACGAGCCAGCAGATGTTAGCAGTCTCCCAGACTGAACCCCGTGAGCACGCCTACACGTTTGGTAAAGCTAACATAACCCCCCGAGGATACTAGAAATAAAGGGCAAAAAAAAACAAATACACGAACTTTCTACAAGTGATCAAGACGCTTGTAACAGCAACGCTTTTTATAAAGCAAAGCCAAACTTTTTTTTAATTTGAATGCAAATTATTTCTTCATTTCACTTCTAGTTTGGGATTAGTGATTATGAACGGGCAATCAATTCGCATCGAATATACATACCTTAAAGTGATTAATTGTGCAATGCGAGGATACGGCTGAACTTTGAACGCGAGTGAAAGTTTCTGTGCCGCCCGTCACTGGCGTCACTACGCATAACTATGCAACCATCATTGAACACTTTCCTCGATCAAGTCACGTACTCCTCGTTGATCGAGTGGATAAACAACTTACTGGAAACATTTTTATTGGCATAGACATAGACATGTGGACTACTTCAGTCCATCGGGCCAAAGTGAATGCTACCGTTCACTTGCATAAGGGCAGAATCATTTAAACAAGTTACATTTTAGACATTATTTTAAATTTTATGTCTTTTATCTTATAAGAATTTATTATTCGAGGTTTTTGCTGTCGGAATCTTCATATTTGAAACTTTATCAGAATGAACGTCATATAAAAAAGAATAAAAAGAAAAATTTTTTTCTTCTTCCAAATAAATATATTTAGCAATCACGGACAATTAGAAATATTTTCGTTCAAGACTTCAAACTTGTAAACAAAACATAGCCTTTTTATCAAATCTTAACTCTTCTTTTGTCTTGACAGAATAAATTGAAGTAAAACCATTAAAAAATTACGACCTTATTAAAGATCAAGAGCTACGTGTTTTTTTTTCGGGTTTTTTGCATGACATGAATTCGAAATTTCATTTGTATTGTATAACAACAGCTAAAGCACATTTCAAACCGGATCATATAACTGTTCTGAGGACATGCAGGATAGTTGTATCTACCCGCATAGGCTCACAATACATCCTACAACCGATTAACTTCGGATTGTAGTGCTGTCTTTGTGTTTTATGTATCTTTTTAGCTTATGATGTGTATTGTGTGCCTAATAAATAATAATAATAATAAAATGAATATAAAATTAAATTTGCGAATACGAAAAAAAATTTCAACATGAATGATGATAAAAAACTTATACCCAATTATTTAAAGTATACAATTACAAGACAAAAGGAATTGTATTGTAGCCATAATTTAACATAGATTCGGACTCAACATAGATGCTCATTCGAACGTGATAATGACAGTACTCTTCCAAAGACAACGTAGTGCAGACGTTCCGTTACATTAAGAAAGATATTAATTATAGCCTCAATTCTGGACAGCGATCATTGTACCGTAACCAGACGAACTGATAAAAGACCATTGTTACGGGTCAAACCGTTGTTAAAACGTACAGCATTTATTTAGGTAATTTATTGTGAACTCGTCACTTCACGGTTGCTTAGTAGGATTGAAACTGGCAGGTTTGCTTGTATCTATTATGTAATAGATCCTTCAAGTTCCGTGTAAATTATTATCATGCAAAACAACAAACACATTCAGAATAATAATAACATGTTATTTGTATTTTGTATCGTAATTATGTAAGCCTAGCCACGTAATATGATGTCGATTTTTAAATTGGCGAAATATGTAGTAGCCCAGAGCGAATGGTGTATACCTGGCAAGTTAAAAAGCACTAAAAATATTTTAGTTATTAAAGCTTTTACTTAAAAAGCTTTGCTTCGAAGTAAAAGCACACAATATAGTTTTTTTTTTCAATTTATCTCTATCTTTTTTCAGTGTCGATCGCCTGCCGATGACATACCTTTATAATATGATACTAGCGACCCGCCCTCGCTTCGCTTCGGAAACTGTAATTAATTATTGATTTCTCCACTATTTAATGAATGTTATTATACAAATAAACCTTCCTCTTCAATCACTCTATCTATTTAAAAAACCGCATCAAAATCCGTTGAGTAGTTTTAAAGATTTAAGCACACATAAGGATATAGGGACAGAGAAAGCGATTTTGTTTTATAGTATGTAGTGACATTGGTTCTTTAAAAAAATAGATGTCATTTTGTCATGGTCTTTTTTTTATACATCTGCGGATAGTTCGGTTTTGAATACTCAAATATGACAACATTGGCGTGTCAACACGACTAGTATGAGACTACAATATGCTAACTCCCATCGAACGAACCGCATGCAACAAAAAAGAACTGCCATCAACCTAAACTATGAGCTGTGACAAAATGTAATGCCTTTATTCAATGGTTGTTTAGAACAAAGGCTGGTCGTTCGATGGTTCCATTTATCTGATGATACAATCATGTCGCCCAATATATGGCTCGTTGTCATAGGGCTTTGTATCTATAACACGCGTGTGTACATACAATGTGTGTGTGTCTGCATTCTCTTCGAAACCTGGACCTTTTATCAACATATTGAATCTGTATATGAAACTATACCAATATTCTATCTAATATTATCCAATATAAATAAAAGTAGGAAAGTTTGTGAAAATCCTTTGCAATAATTACCAACGCTTAAACAGTTAAGCAGACGTTTTTGTGATGACCATTGTGTGAAGCGGTGTCTCCACCCCCTAGTTGAGAGCAACGTGTGACTTTCGACCTGTCTTCAGTTATATATATATTTTTTTTTTATTGCTTATATGGGTGGACGAGCTCACAGCCCACCTGATGTTAAGTGGTTACTGGAGCCCATAGACATCTACAACGTAAATGCGCCACCCACCTTGAGATATAAGTTCTAAGGTCTCAGTATAGTTACAACGGCTACCCCACCCTTCAAACCGAAACGCATTACTGCTTCACGGCAGAAATAGGCAGGGCGGTGGTACCTACCCCTCCAGACTCACAAGAGGTCCTACCACCAGTAAAAAGTCGATTAAAGTCTCTATTGCATTAGAATAATTATAATTTATGTATGCTGGCCATTAATACTAAAATCAAATGAATTTTAATAAATAAATATGGAAATCCATTATCAATTTCAGTCATTTGCTTACTGAGAAGTGTTTTGTTCTCACTATATTTGTATCTTTTTCATCAATACGGACAGGATAAGAATACAATTAATCATGGCATATGAGTTGTAACGCGGTAGCAATGCTGCACAAACGGCTTACAACATTAATGACGAGAACGGAGAGAATTACAAACGAACGCACGACTCGTTCTAGCTATGAACTGCTTCTGACTTAAAGATTTAAAAAATGAATCTCATTATCGCTCGAAGACCTAACAACGACAAGTTAAAAGCAATTGTGAAAGCTAACGATACTCAATCTACCGCGGAGTTAACAGCGTTAGCGCTTAAACAATATTGGACCATTTGCGAGTCACATTGGCGAGGTGAAAAACTTGATAACCCACTTATCAAGTTTTTCACAAGCTGCACGATTTGAGCGATATCCGGCGCAACGAACACGTCAATAGGTAAAGATTAATAAGTAAAAATTTCTATTCTTACAGTTATGATCGCGATCAACCTTTTACGTTCCAAATTGGCGTTGGGCAAGTGATCAAGGGATGGGACCAGGGCTTGCTTGACATGTGCGTTGGTGAGTACATTTTATGTATTTCTCAGAAAACTTAATTTAGAGTTAAATATGTCAAAAGTGAGGCCGACCCCCGAATCGACACCACTGACCTAAGTCGTCATTGTCGGACGACATTGGACAGTTGTCGCACATTGGTGATACGACCTTCAGCCTATTGAACCTCATTCAAAGTGTCTTTCCATAGAACATTTTTGCCACGTGACATTTGCCTATGTAATAAACTTTCCTTTGCAATGTTTCTCGAACGCTGTGACATTATTATGCATAATCCAACAATTGCACAATATGCATAATGCCAACATCATCAGTATTTTGTACATCACAAATTAATTTTGATTGCAAATCGTTATTATTGTTATTATTGACCTTTGCTATTATGACGATCGGCCCATATTATTAGCATTGCCTAAGTTTTAATTAAAAAATCATGCACATGAAACTGAGATTCGCGTTTCATTAAATCGTCAAATAGTCCATACCCTATTTCATTGTAAATATTTAAAATTTCAGGTGAGAAACGTAAACTGACTATTCCCGCATCCTTGGGCTACGGAGAGCGCGGAGCCGGCAACGTGATTCCTCCCCACGCTACATTGCATTTCGAAGTGGAGTTGATCAACATCGGTGACTCTCCACCGGCCACAAACGTGTTCAAGGAAATCGACGCCGATAAGGACAACATGCTCTCCCGCGAAGAAGTGAGTATCGAGTTAGCGTTCCAAGCGATGGATACCGACCGCGATGGAGAGCTATCACGAGAGGAGGTCAGTCACTCTGTTGGTGGTGGGCCCGACCTACTAACAATAATGCCTGACATGCTCGACGGGTTCTTGTTGATGTACTCTATGTCGTCAGTCTGTAAAAATATAATTTTCAAAGCAAACAGCTCAATTGTGAGTCCGCGCGGGTAGATACCACCACCCTCCTTATTTCTGCCGTGAAGCAGTAATGCGTTTCGGTTGGAAGGGTTGGGCAGCTGTTGTAACTATACTGAGACCTTAGAACTCATATCTCAAGGTGGGTGGCGGCATTTACGTCGTAGATGTCTATGGGCTCCGGTAACCACTTAACAGCAGGTGAGCCGTTAGCTCGTCCACAAATCGAAGCAATAAAAAAATTGATTATTATTTGACTATGACCACGTTTCTTTTTATGGTCTACATAGTTTAATGAATAGGCCTTCGTATAATAATATGCTTGAACCTTGCTAGAAGTTATGTGTGATTATTTGTTATAAACATGTTATACCTATTATATAGAAAAGCTGCATTTCTCGTCTCGACTCTTACATAATTCTTACTTTCAATTGTATTTAATAAATGCACGTACCTACGTTCAATTGTGATTAACTAGACCAGCATAATGAAGTTACTTCCTATATTAATAATTATTGTATTATTATTATAATACTTACTATTGAATAAAGCGAGATTTATGTTATAAATCGAATTCCATATTGAGGTAAATTTTTATTTAAATTTTAATGATCTTATCTTCGATCGTATCGTATCTTCAATAGAATAATTGTACAAAGAAATCTATAATGTGGTCAGATAATAACATGTAATCTGAAGTAAACATATCATGCATTCCGTACCTTTAAAGTTGAACAAATTGATATTGGTTTAATGAAACAACATATTATATAACTCCTGTAATCAAATCAGGATTATTATTGCATATTGTAAATATAGTTTAAAAACTTCCCAAAAAGTTATTAATGTAGCTTATTAATTTCACTAGATTTTATTAAAATAGTTTAAAAACGAAATATAATTTATTTCGAAGCTATATGCAAGGCAGCAACAGAGCTGTTAACCACTCTAATAAATTTGCAGGTGAGCGACTATTTGAAGAAGCAGATGGTTCCCGCCGACGGTGGTGAAGTAAGCGAAGACATCAAGCAAATGTTGGAAAGTCACGATAAACTTGTTGAGGAAATCTTCCAGCACGAAGATAAAGACAAAAACGGCTTCATCAGCCATGAGGAATTCTCTGGACCTAAGCACGACGAACTTTAAATGAGTCTCCGAAGCCTTAGGCATTATTAGGAGCCAACATTTTACACAAAATCTGTAGCACTTCACATAAAAAAAATTCACGACTTCTTTGATTATTAATTATTATCATCTGTTTCATGCTCAATCTTTCATCTATAAACAGAATTAAACCACATCATTAGTCAGTAATTATAAACTGGAGACTTCAAGTTTTTCTTTACAATTTCTAATTATAATTAGGATTGCTAAATTCAATCAAATTACTACAGACCTCGTCTCCAGTTTCCAATCTCCAATCCTTGAATCTAATATACTTTTTTTCTATTTGTATGAGTCTTAACAGAGTTATGTTGTCTTTTGTACTTAGTTTATTTACTTAAGTTGTTGGTGGAATGTAGTTTTGTTATACTTTAGCTTAATGTATATTGTAATGTCGTATGTAATATACATATGTACATACATAGCATATAATATTTAATTTTAACGGTAGTTGATGACGTCTACATTAGAAACTGAAATTATTTACATGGTTATGGCACGGTGGCCGTATCATGTCAAAGGTGTCAGAATAGCTCAAACACAAAGTTTTTCATATGGCTCTGTAACCGAAGCATTGATTGCTTTATTTATAATACTTAACTGCTATGGGCATCTGAGGAACATTGGAATTAAGAGATTCGTTTACTTTACACCATAATAGTCCATTTGTAATGTTCGATAATTTTGTATAGAACAAGAAACAAATTGTTATTTTCCTTTATTTATCACAAAATCTGTGGTTTCTTTAAAAAATGTTATTCTTTTAACATCTTTGGCCGTATAGCAGTTTTGTAATGGAAATTATGCATATCGTCTAGTAGGTAGGCGACGTCTATTCCGCTATGTACAATAAAACCTATTTGTAACAGGAACTGTTTTATTTTACTTATAATTTAATACCGCTTGCACAATACCGACACTGCAAGAACTATTTAATTCAAACTATTTAGCCAATGTTACTACTTATTTACTTTTGTATAAATAGTAGAAAAAACTAAAATATACCTAGAACGTTTTATAACGGAGCTAAAAATCATAAAACTTCTTTGTTCAAATTTTGTAGTTATCGAATAAACAGCTTTTGCTGCGGTATACGCTTTCCGGTTTGAATGATAGACAGCCGTTATACAAACAATTGAGAATTTGACCTCATATCTTGAGTTGGGCGATGACATTTACATCTTCCGCGTCCAGATCATGGGTATTATCCTATAGTCACACGAGCACTGAGTCGCGCTTAGTCCATTGGCGGAGCTGTCAGAGCCAATCAAAATAAGTGGCGAGTACATCCAGTTTCCAGGACGGCATCTCAGTTAAAACACTTACCGCCTCTAATAATACTAAGCCATTAGTGTATCTAGCATGTATTATTTCAGGTATAAGCTGTCGTAAAATAATTACTTTCGTTTATACAATGACAAACGTAGTAATGAATTATATGTAATTTACAAAAAAAACCTGTTTTTTTTCTGATTTAACTCTGGTATGATTTTTTTGAAGATGATGACAAACTGGAATCAGCATTAGTAATACTTAGACAACACACTCTCAAAGTGACAACTTAATTAGAACCGTTGTGATTTGAAAAAATAACAAATGATAAAACGACACTAAAAAGGACTAACTAAAGAAAACCGTAACAAACAAATATCTATAGGAAACACGTGTGAATAGTATTAGTGTTTTGTTATATAAATATAAGAAAAGGCGTTTGTAACTCACAGTTATGATACCTACTACTACTACTCCGCTTTCGTATTGGATAGAAACAAAAACACCACTTTAGTTCTCAATAATTTTAATAAGATGAGTTGTAGTGCAAGCATTAGTCATTCTGGAAACAACATTGAGGTTTGTATTTCATAGAGGGTAGAGGCAAGGGGTACCATCTTGTATCGGGGACAAGTTGAAAAAGTGCCCACATGCCTAAACAGCTAATTATTGTTATTGTTAGCACACCACCGAAATAGCGCTAGTGTAGGAAGTGAAAATTATATGAATACCGCAGTTTTAAGAAGAGTGAAACGTGCTGGTTCGAATTGAAGTGTATTAGATACCTACATCGATACGGGTACCTTGGACAGCGGAGTGAACCAATCTAACTATCTTAGAACAACTGAAGATCAAAACAAGATTGTCCACACTCTGCGTTCGCCACGCACTCGAGTTTTTCGGTCATATTGCTCGGAAAAAGCCTATCAGGCTTAGAGAGACTATTCGTGAGAGGAAAGATTGAGGGAAAGGGACCGCGCGGTCACGGCCCGACAAGGTGGTTCGATCAAATCCACACCACACTAGAAATCCCATTCCACGAAGCCTTTCACCCGGCCAATGATCGGAAACGCTGGAAAAACATAATAAATAAAATTCTGCACAAACATGATGGTCACGACCCTCAGCAATGAGGGAACGACGCGAGGATGAGGAGTGGTATTTTTGGCGCTGTTTTTTAAATCTTTCCACTTGCTACTATGGCGCTACCTCAATCTCCCTTTCAGCGGAAATTTTTAAACGTAAACGGGCTAGTTTTATGACAATAGCTTGCTGCGATATTATTATAGCTGCCAAGTTGCTCATTATATATCTCAATACAGTGCAACAATGGCTGCAACATTGCTGTATAGCCCGGCGATATTGTCAATATATTTCATTATAGTTGCAAGTAATTAATGTCTAGCCGGCTACATTGCAAATGATTTATCCCGCTTGGAATTCACTGCAATATTTCCGTATATCGTCTTTGCTCTGATGTATAAGTCCATCTCTTTTCCGTCGCTCGCCTCCCCCCGCCTCGTCCTGTAGATACCGCTGCTGTCTCGTCGCACAAGCATGCACACACCTTTAACGCTGGGGAATCCAGTTACGAATACCCGGTCGAGAGGGGGAAACAGACCGGGTTATGTCGAACTTCGGCGCCTCCAGAGAAGAAGAGGGAGAGGGAGAAGACCAAAGTGATCCTCTTCTTCCAACTCCTACCGGGAGACTACGCCTTGAGAAAAGCGCGCGAGGAGCTGCGCGGCCACCACGCAGGACCCGCCCCTCAAAGCCGACTACCGACTAAACCCCATCGAGCCCCACCACTCCGACTCCATGAAACCTACGGTACCACAGTGTGCGCCGAAGGTTCGCCGTCGCCGGTCCCCGTCCGGACAATAGGACAGGAAGATCCCGCAGGACGTCGTCTCGGGAGACACACCGTGAGCCGCGCACAGGAGCCATCTTGCGCCGCCTCACCATGGGACCGAACCACGCACACAACTAACCTATTCAATTCGGTTTCTTTAAACGATGACACAAAATAATAAAAGCTGCAGCAACGGCAACATCTTCGGTATCCACCATTTTGTTCTGCGAGATCTAGCCGCAATATGCCCCGCGTGTACGAGCAAACTCCTCAGCAATCCAGTCGCCGAATCTTAAAGGGCTACACTCGGCAAAATAAAATTGCAGCAAGGGTGAAGTTGCAAATGTACTGAGCTATATTGGTCAAGAGAAATACCCAACAAGATCCAATTTGTTATAGCCCGCTTACATATAGACCGAGATGGTGCTTACATCTACCCTCTTTTTTTTCCTACCTTTTTTTTTATTGCCTTTGTAGTCAGACGGGCATACGGCCCACCTGATGGTGAGTGGTTACCGTCGCCCATGGACTTCAGCAATGCCAGGGGCAGAGCCAAGCCGCTGCCTACCGCTTAATACTCTCCACAAGCCTCGTTTGAAGGACATAAAAAGATCTCTGGAAACGCACTGTGGATGACCGCACTGGCTCCAGATAGTATGGATGAACTCTACTCCGGTGGCGGGCGGTGCGATGCTTGTATCGTCTCGAACAATTCCTCAGAGCGCTCCCCATAGAACATACGGTACAAAATACAGAGGGAACCGAAGTCCCTCCGCAGACCCAGAGGCTCCTTGAGGCTATTTCACCGTAACCTTAACTAGTAGGTGAGTTCACGGGGCTCAAACCTGACGACGTTGCTAACACGAACCGTAGCAAAAGCCGTGCTTCGCAGAATCTACCACCGGATCGGAAACGCGACCCACTGAGAACATCCGGCGAGAAACTCAGTGTGCTGTATCTGTGGGTTAATTTACTCGTCGAGCCCTTCGTCGCAAACGATGGTTCGACGAGAACGATGACCGATGCTTGAGGTACCTAAAAGCACCGTTAGTGGATCGGGAGGATCCGAAATTACGTGTTTTGAGCGACGTCGACTGCTTTCCATTCTGTCCGCAGGATCGGGAATGTTCTACCCTCCATAATATTCTGAAAACTGGGACTACGGATATTAGGGATGTAAGCCGGTACGAAGAAAACCGGAAAACCAGTTTTAGGAACCAGTCAGAATACCCCGCTGGGCCAGAACCAGCGTGGGTCGAGGATAAAACGCGTGCAGAGCAGCTTGCACGTCGTCTTCTTAGGCGCCCTCGCCGGTCCCCAGACTGACATGTGAGGGGGACCCGAAACACTTAGAGGGCCAGGGCTTGGGTGATATCTGCCTCCCTGGCCCCCGCTCGACGGCGGCGGTATTGTGCATCTCTCACGCGCCCCGCCACCTCCTTCAGTGAGATGGTGCACTCGTCGTCGCCGAGCATCGATGCCACAACACTCGGCAACGACAAGTCGTTTCCTATTTTTGCGACGAGGACACGGCGCCACCCCTCCCATGCGGGGCAGGCGAAACAACGTCTCAGTGAACAGTCACAGTTTCAATAGCCTTTTTGGAAGATCTCGAGAAGCTACGTCCAACGGCTTTGTTTCATTTTCCCGCATTTGTGCACTTTTACCGATACTAAACAGTTGATAAACGATGATTATTATTATAATGATTATAACACAGGTATTTGTACATTTAAACACGAAGAAACACTAAATTGAGAAATAAACCAATTCACACAACTTCTGGCGTTCCCGCCAAGTCCATTGTCAACATAAAAGTCAAATAAGTCAATGTCATTTAATCACTAGACGGGATGTAAAGTAAGGCCAAGATTTTAATACTGCAAGGTACATACGCTATGATAAAGATAGTCAATTTATTTCGCCATTTTTCTCCAAGTCTGTCAGTGAAATGAAATTACATAGTGTCTAAGTCTAATCTATGTACCGACAGAAAGTTTGATAAAGTTAATGTGAAAATATACTCAAGGGTGTGAACTATAAAGGAGTGCGGTATGGTTTTTAAATAATCTTATAATTAACGAATTTGATACTCGTAGTGAATTACGAATTGCAATATTGCAGTTAATATTACCGTAATTGTAAGAAAACGAATAATGATGTCGAATAAACGATTAGTAGCTACATGTGCGATAGCATTTTGCTGCAACGTGGCTATGCTCGTATTATTTGTAAAATACAACGGCGGTGTAAGGTACTTTGTTACGATTAATGAAAATCAAGAAGATATCAAGCTAATCTCGGAAGACTTTCTCAGCTTTGGGATTGACACCATTGAAATTGAGAACTACAACAGAATTAACTATTCGGACACTAGGTTGAGGGAGTTAGCAGCAGCACTATCCCCAGCGCGGCTTCGTCTTGGCGGCACCATGTCTGAACGTCTCATATTTAGTAAAGAAAATATCCCAATTTCATGCCACAATTGTAGTTATAAATCTTATCCAAAATCTTTATGCCAACTTATTGAAAAACCATGTAAACACAAACACAAGTTTTTACCCTTCTTTATAATGACTGGAAATGAATGGAACCAAATTAACGATTTTTGCAGAAAGACTAATCTAAAATTGTTATTCTCGTTGAATGCAATGCTTCGTGATAATCATGGTTGGAATGAAAAGAATGCTAGAGAACTTATTGAATTTTCAAAACACAAACAGTATGCTATTGATTGGCAGTTAGGAAACGAGCCAAACTCTTTTCAACATGTTTTTAATGAAAGTGTAACTCCTCAAATATTAGCCAAGGACTTTGAAAAGCTACGTAAACTTTTGAATCATAATGGTTACAGACATTCTCTGATTGTCGGCCCAGACACAACAAGACCACAACCACACCGTCCTGAATGCCTTAAATATATGATAGAATTTTTAGGTAATGGATCTCATTATATAAATGTAAGATCATGGCATCAGTATTATTTAAACAGTAAAACTGCCAAATTGGAGGATTTTTGGAATCCAGAAACATTTGATTTGCTCAGACAGCAAATAGAAACAATGCAAAATCAAACCAAGAAGTACAAAAATATCCCAATGTGGCTAAGTGAAACTAGTAGCTCATATGGAGGTGGTGCACCAGGATTATCAAATACTTATGCAGGTAGCCCGCTTTGGATTGATAAACTAGGTCTATCGGCAAAATACAATATATCCACCGTCATTCGACAAAGCTTTATTGGTGGATATTACAGCCTAGTGGATGAAAATCTGAAACCCTTACCAGATTGGTGGATCAGTGTCTTGTATAAAAAATTGGTTGGAAATAAAGTTTTACAGGTGCAATGCAATTGCTCAAGGTTTCAAAGACTGTATATTCATTGCACCAACAGAAAATACACTAATGACACATCAGCTGTAACACTGTATGGTGTTAATTTGGAAATGGCAAAAGCTCGATTCTTCCTTAATGGCACTGCTTTACATGGAGACGATTTAATAATTCATGAATATATCATAAGTGCACCTTCAAATAACCGAAAATCAAAAACAATATTGTTAAATGGCTGGCCACTTTATTATGAATCTAATTTACACAATTTGCGGCCTAATATTCATAGGTATGGACGCTATGTTTCACTACCTCCATATTCTATTGGATTTTGGGTAATTAAGAAAACATCAATTACTGTATGCGAATAACAATTTCCTTTAATCTAAATGGCTTATCAAATCATCATTTTGTCTCAAACCTTACAGTTAGGTGGCATTCCAAAATATACATGAGTTACATTAAACTTCCTATCTGATTCTATTTGGCCAAACAGTTTAGTAATCTCATTTTTCTATAATCTCATATAAGTCTTACAGTAATTATAGATGACTAATGATTCTAAAGATTGATTCTGATTGTTTTGTTATTAACATTATTCAATTAATAATTTCTTTGTGTTTATTAGAAGTTTTGTATTAATTTCAATTATTTTGGCTGAATAACAGCAAAAACGACTTGATTTCTGTTAATATCTATAAGATTTTTTTTATAGTCAAAGAAATAATCTTTGTCTTTAACTTGTATATTAACTTAATACAAGAAATGTTGATTGTCGTAACATTAAGTTTCATTGAGCAGTCTCTGTTCTGTTGATTAAATATCATAAATTACAGAGGATGTTAATTGTGTTGTTTGCTGGTATTGTGCGCTGGCCTTGTCTCAGACTAATAAAGACCTATTACCAATATGACACTGAATTGAGAGTAGTTAAATAATAATGTGTGCATTGATCACATCATCATGTGGAGTGATCATCATCATGTAGAATTCCAATCAAAAACTTTTTTATTTCGAAAATTACTTGTATATATTATTTTCGATATACCTAACTATACTTTTTAAGATTAAAAATAGTGGCACATGATACCAGGGACTTTGTTATTTTTGTTGTTTTTGGTTGTCATAGTATAAGATCTTACCTTGTAAGCCTCATTATGTTAGTATTAAGATAAAGTTAAAGTTAATCTTAACTTTGTTTTCACACATAGTCATGTATTGATATGTAGTATTAGAGTATAGGCATATTATGTGCTATATATAAAATACAAATTATTACTATATTTAAAATACAATGTATTACACACTTGTTGCTGCTATTTATTATAAGTACAGTTAAACAATTATTTACACTTTTTTGTGCCATAGTAATAATCTATGATGAGAAATATTAATTAATTAAGTTAGTGATAAAATGTGCCTTTTGTGTCACTGCCAACCTATAAAGCTGCAACAATTTTTTTAGATTTCAATGTATAAAATAAATCTGCTTCTTTTAGATTTACCATTAGAAATTTACTATTATATTATAAATTGCTAATTCTATATGAAATGAGAAACCATAACCTGATAAATGTCATTGATACAAAATTTTTGATCTGTCTTTTCATATTGAGTCGTAACTGTAATTAAAATGTATTATTGGATCATCATTTTAAAAGTACTCAAAATATTAAACTTCAACATGTAGTGACATTTATCAGTAGTGATATGGAGGACCAGGGTGTATTTAACAACTTTGGTATTTGTAATCTGTACCAAACATTGTTGTAAAAGTAAGGTGCCTATTTGTAAGACTGATTAGATGTACCATAGTCATTTATTTTTCCCTCTACTTGATTAAATACTTTCAATTCCATTAATATTCCAGTGATTATACTGTTTTGTTTTCCCATGTTTCTGGTAATGTAAAGACATTTATGGGAAACTTAAATAAGCATTTATCGTTTAGAAATTCTGTTAACTCATCACACCTGACATCTTTATCTTTAGTCGGTGTTTGGTGGCTACGAGAAACTCGCATGAATTTTTGGACAAAATTTAACTGTTTAAAAGTTGTCACTACCACTTTTTTGTTGATGCCGGGCTCTTTAAATGTACATACTCCTTATTAAGAATTGAAAAGCAATATTATAATACACTATGAGTTTTATAAGAGTAGAGATTAAAGAAAAACTACAAAATTTTCATTCATACTGTTTATTATTGAACATATTTGTACACTGATAACTTATAGCTGTGGTGTTACATGATGTATAATGTGCATTATTCTTGTAATAGAGTTAATAAGATCATTTGATTTGATTTCAATTTTCTCCAAGTTTATTCAGATAGATTTATTTCGTACAGAAATGTTAGGGGTTTTGGAGAAATAAGTAAAATAATTATTTAAAGTTACTGCTACTTTACGTTCTACTTATAAAATCATTTCACTTATTAGATAAATGACTCAGATTTAGAAAATCTTATAAATATACTATAATTTACTATAATTTTTTATATTATAATGAAAAAAAGTTCGAATATTCATATTATTTAACGACGGAAATTTACATATATTATAGTACATTCGTTTTTTATCAATACTTGGATTCAATGTAGCAAATTGGTATGACAGCAAACACTTAATCATACTTTTAATTTTATAGACAAATTCCAGTCAAAGGTGCACATTTATCACAAATGCGTCTTTCTTTAAAATCAATTCACTAATTGTTATACTTTAGAACTTTTATTTATATAAATTTTTAGAACTATTGCTCATAAATACATTTTGAGTACGAAATTTTACATAAGGAATTGAAAGTATTTATCTGCTATAATTAGATAGTATATAGTACATTATTGTGTACTTCATATATTGCTATAAGGATAATATTATGCTTGAATGCGCTAAGTATCTGTGCCTTCTCGATGGCTACGCCAGTGAATCCTCTATTTATATTACATGTATTAAGAAAATAAAGTTCTTGCATTACAATTTAGTTTCATTTTAATTAAATTGAGTTAGTTAATTAATAAAAAAATATAGTATTAAAAATGTACTATAAATAAATTTTAAATAATAACTAGACAATGATAAAATGCATCACTTTTACCTTTGGTATCACAATAATGAGTAGTAATAATAAACTAATATTTTTTGCATTTTAAACTACAATCTGGTCTTTTTAGAATGCAATTATTATTAGTCCCAATTATTATTAACTTAATATAAGTCTACAACACACGGACATCACACAAAGTCTTGTGCGAGCAATTTCACATTTGAATTGATTTGCTCCAATCAAATTTCGATAATTAATTTTTATCGCGAACTCCTTCACAAGCACAAATTTCTTTAACATTACGATTTACGACGAATAATTAAGATGTTTCCACCAATACTTTATTTCACTTGTCGAAAATACTAAAAACATTCAATAAAAACAATTATCATCTATTTCCTATTTGGTCGCTGTGTGTTGCAGTAATTATTCTTCGACATGAACTAATGTTATATTCTCAATAAATATAGTATCAGCCTTTTTGATCACCGAAGGGAGTAGGCAGAAAGGTGGGGGATGTGACCAATATCCGTTTTCAGTACAGACTATAGAAGACTCTCCGACAATGTCGTAACCGTCTTCGCAATCATATATCATAAGGTCCCCAACAGTATATTTGCCGTGCTTTGAAGATGGCTCTATTAGCAGACGTCCCTTTTCTGGGACTAATGGATCAGGGCAATAGATTGCTGTGGAAAAAATAATATTAATAAAATAATATGTTAAAAGACACAACTACAATTAGAAATAAATACAAATGCCTGCAAGCAGACCATAAATCCATTCTATGAAAAATTAGTAATATTTCACATCTTTAAATGAACCTGGGCTGATAATTTCACACACATTCTATAATGTAAGTAGTACTTCTTCAGTAGCACTGTAAATGTAAATTTTGTATTTCTACACGCGTTATACACAATGGGCAAATTACAGTTTGTTCTATATATGAGTCGACTATTATCAAAGCCGGCAATCTGACTTTTGGACAATGATTGGTAAATCAGAAAAACGAATTATTGACTTTGTATTCCATTGGCAGTCACAAAACTCTTCAGAACGACATCTTAGATAAATAACAGGTTAACTATTAACCTTTATTTAATGCAGGTTTTGAACCGTATTCTTTGAAGGAGACGATTATATTCAAANTATATATGAGTCGACTATTATCAAAGCCGGCAATCTGACTTTTGGACAATGATTGGTAAATCAGAAAAACGAATTATTGACTTTGTATTCCATTGGCAGTCACAAAACTCTTCAGAACGACATCTTAGATAAATAACAGGTTAACTATTAACCTTTATTTAATGCAGGTTTTGAACCGTATTCTTTGAAGGAGACGATTATATTCAAATCAATCTGTATTGACATATCAATAAAAAAATTTTGTCCAAATGCACAGATTGCCACCTTTGATAATAGACGACTCATATTAGTGCCATTTACTCCTTATTTATATTTAAAAAAAATGGTAGAAACTAAAAATGTAACAGAAGTTCTTTGACAAGGCAACAGAGATATGGTTTTTTTATTTATGACAGCTACCTACTTCCAAAACACTATCCAAATAAGCTACCTAATGCGAAATATAAATTTGGCCTTACGTGAACAAATTGGCACCTCTCCAGACCACTGACCGTCATGTTCACATTCCAAACCTGGTGAACCCACAAGCCTGTAGCCCCAGGCACACTGAAATACGGCACGACCCCCAAATGACGAATTATATTCAACGAAACTTAAGTGAGGACCTAAAGACTTCAACATGGGACAGAAAGTTTCCAGGCATGTCGGAAGGCTGGTTGACCAATGACCTTTGAAAAAATTATGCAGAAATTATTAAATGAATTGAATACAACGTAGTTCAATCAACAATAATGCTAAAGTAGTCAAAGATACTTACCGTTTCCCATACAAGTCAAAATTGCAGAGCCATTAAGATGAAAACCAGATTGACAACTAAAGTGGGCCGAATGACCAAGTCTAGTTCCTTGTGTAAACTGACGTAGCCGAGGCGAAGACACGTTTATTGTTGGACAAACTACATCTGTAAATAAGTTTTAATGTCAGTATATTTATAAAAGTTCAGAATGCAGTAAATCATTATTATTTTAACTAACAATTGATTTGGATATGATTAATCATTCGCGTCAGGCATATATATAAAGCAGCATTCAAGATATACCGTGGTTCGTTTAAATGCATTAAAATACATAACATTATATACGATACGCACTTTTAATAAATTAGTTAAATGCCAAATTGATGTTCGTTGGGAAAACGAGCGTATGGTTTCAAAGTTGTGCTATGCGTTGATTCAGTGAATAAGTACCATCAACTTTGACCAACCATGACTAGCGAACAAACTCACTAACAACTTTAACGATCACTGTATTGGTGTGTCCCGTTGGAGTGGCACAAGTGTACGTGTCACTATGACGCGCGGACATCTTTGACAGCGTCAGTCTGTAATGGGTATACTTCTCGCCTTCGTCCGATGACCAGCCTGAAAATATTCAATCAAATATTAAGAAAATTCACCAGACATCAGAATCACAACAGTCGTATATTATACTTTTTGCAGGTTCGAGTCTTGTTTTTATTGGAATTCGAACATAAAACTATAACTTCTAGATAAATTAAATTTATTGTGTTTTAAAAATAGTTCCGTATTTTTCTAAAATGAACTAAAAAGTCTCTGAAGACTGAATATTCAATTTCAAAACTTCAGAACCGTCTTTACGCCTCCAATATCGTGAAATCACCTGTTAGAATATAATAGGGACATAATCTAAACCGAATAGAAAAACAAAGAAAATAAGGTGGAAAAAATGGCTAGACTAGATTTCACTTTGTTGTAACGTATGTAACTATACGTACTACTAAGGAGTTGGTTCAGTTACGTTACAAAAGTAAATGTTTAAAATAAAATAGAGTAATAATTCATTGAAATAAACTTACTGTCCACAATGACCTAATATTTGATCAGAAATCATCTTTATAAAGAAAGGAAAAAACAAGTAAACGGAGCCCACATATTTTATAGTGGCTGTATACACTTAGCACCAGGTAAGTTATGAGCTCTAATGCCCATCGACAACAATGAATAAATGGATAATTGAGTCAATCAGCGCAAAAGTGGCCTAAGCTTACTATAGTTAGTACGGAGCCAATGAGGTTTTAATTTTTTTTAGACTGCTTCATAGGAAAAACTACGCGCAAAAATAATATTTACAAAGCAAATATTTACAATCTGTAAACCAGGGGTGAAACTAGGGATAGGCCGGTTTTGTATCAACATTTATTATGTTTTAAATAAATTGCAATATATAAGCACGAATATGAAAAGTTGTGGGTTAGGCCACTTTTGCGCTGACGGCCTCAATTATACCTTAGAATAATATATTCTACAAACCGGTTTCGTAATTTCCAAGGGCTTGCGTCCAACTCCATTCCGGGTTGCCTAAAGCTCTTGGAGTAACACAGTCTAGACGTAGAGTACTGTCAGGGAAAACGAACAATTCTCCTGTGGGTTCTACAACTGCTGAACCACTTATAATTGCGTACTGTATAGTGGGTGGAGCGTCGCCTAAAAATTAATAAAAAAGATGTCACGTTTTTTAAGCTGTAGATGCAGTTGTATTAGTGCTGCTTCTAACTGTATTAGGTAGGCGCTGACACGAAGGATGTTTTACACAGTGAGTATAAATATGTACTGCTAATGTAAACCATTTACTGAAGATAAGTATGTACACAAACAAACTATAACAGAAGTGGTACGATAAAGAAATAACATATAGGAGTAGTAAAGCACTGACACGAACGATATCACAGCGAATATAGATATGTACTACCCGCAGTTTCTTCAGATTCCGAAGTGTTGAACAACAATAATAGATGATTGGCTGAATTCATAGGCGACAGCGATTTTGTCAAATTGTAAGGCGGTTGCCCAAGTAGTGGCGGATAGGTGAGTCGCCACAAAGCTTACTACAAAGTATAGTGTCTCATTCATTCTCCGCAATTTTCTTGCGATGCTCTCCAGTTCTTAGATATGTTTATTCAAATTCGTAGCTTAATTCGTAGTTAAAAATTTATTACTTCACTATGAATAAATGAATAAATTAGAGGAATCCCCACAAACAAACAACAACCAAGAAACCGAATAAACAAAGAAGTTTGTGGAGATTAGTATAGAAAGAAAATAATGCAATTAGTATAGAAAGAAAATAATGTGAACTCCAAAACTGCTATGTAATATACACAAGCCACAAACTAATAATAATAATAAAATTAAAGTTCTCATTTCAAGACATTATAATATTTTTTTTTATTGCTTAGATGGGTGGACTAGCTCACAGCCCACCTGGTGCTAAGTGGTTACTGGAGCCCATAGACATCCACAACGCAAATGCGCCACCCACCTCGAGACATAAGTTCTACTGTCTCAGTATAGTTACAACGGCTACCCCACCCTTCGAACCGAAACGCATTACTGCTTCACGGCGGAAATAGGCGGGGTGGTGGTACCTACCCGTGCGGACTCCCAAGAGGTCGTACCACCAGTGATTACGCAAATTATAATTTTGCGGGTTTGATTTTTATTACACGATGTTATTCCTTCACTGTGGAAGTCAATCGTGAACATATTTTGTTGAGTACGTATTTCATTAGAAAAATTGGTACCCGCCTACGGGATTCGAACACCGGTGCATCGCTACATACGAATGCACCGGACGTCTTATCCTTTAGGCCACGACGACTAATCTCATAATGTGTTAGTATTACAAAAAACTTAATATCTATTTAATTCATAAACTAAAACAGTACACCGAAATTAATTTTGTAAATGGATACCTGTAAAATTAGTGATGACACTGGTCGGAACGCATTCTGGAAACTTTGGCACCCACTCCCCATTCTCACAGTGCATTGTGTTATCTCCTTTCAGCTTATAAAAACCGAAATGTATACACCTTGCCACTATTGAAGAGCCATGTGGAAAACTAGTTTCTTTCTGAAAGAACATTTCATGAAGCTTGTGTATACATTTGTACGTATTTTTATTAATATTTAATTAACTGATGTATAAGTTTGTGTTATTGTAAAGCGCGATATTATTGCAACACTTTTTTTTAATGTCGTCGTCGATAAGTCGTCCGGTGCATTCGTATTGAGCGATGCACCGTTTCTAATGAAATACGTACTCAACAAACGTCCACGATTGACTTTCACGGTGAAAGAATAACATCGTGTAATAAAAATGAAACCCGCAAAATTATAATTTGCGTAATTAACCACCGCCCTGCCTATTTCTGCCGTGAAGCAGCAATGCGTTTCGGTTTGAAGGGTGGGGCAGCCGTAGTAACTATACTTGAGACCTTAGAACTTATATCTCAAGGTGGGTGGCGCATTTACGTTGTAAATGTCTATGGGCTCCAGTAACCACTTAACACCTATGTCTATGGGCTCCAGTAACCACTTGGCTACGTTATGTCTATGGGCTCCAGTAACCACTTAGTGGGATGTGAGCTCGTCCACCCATCTAGCAATAAACAAAAAAAAAAAATTTTAGCTTTATTTTGCTACTCAAGCTTCTTCTTGACGTGTAGGTGAGCTCACGGGGCTCAACCCGAGTGTTGCTAACACTGGCCCTAGCCAGAGCCGTGCTTCGCAGAATATACCACCGGATCGGAAATGCGACCCACTGAGAAGATCCGGCGAGAAACTCATTGGGCTGTGTCTATGGGTTAATGCAATCATCGAGCCTCATTCGTCGCAAGCGATGGGTTCGACGAGGACGGTGACCGGTGCTTGTGGTACCTAAAAGTACTGTTAATGGATCGGGATACACTCTAGCAAGGGACAATAGTACTGCTACAAAAAAGTGAAGTGGATGAATTCATATATCCATCCATCCATGTATCCAACTCAGTATTAGTTATTAATGGTGGCAGGACCTCTTGTGAGTCCACACGGGTAGGTACCACCACCCTTTCTATTTCTGCCTTGAAGCAGTAATGCGTTTTGGTTTGAAGGACGGGGCAGCTGTTGTAACTATACTGAGAATTTAGAACATATATCTCAAGATGAGTGGCGCATTTACGTTGTAGATTTCTATGGGCTCTAGTAACCACTTACTTAACACCAGTTGGGCTGTGAGCTCCTCCACATATCCACCCATAAATTTATGTCACACGTGAATAGCACTTTCTTGATAAACTATCTATGTTTTTTACTGCAGCCTTGAAAATGCATATCCATAATTTTATTTTGATTGGTTATGTAATGGAAGTCATATATAGTATAGTAACCGGCAAACTTCTTGAGCAAATGACCTTGACTGCGCAGAACCGAATTTTAGATCACTTTGGTGGTGAGGGTGAGGCGCGACGGCAGGGGAAATCGTATCGAGCGCGTTATTGGTAGATCAGTCGAACCTTGCGTCCCGCACCGCGCCCTCGTTCCGCTTGCTCCCAAAAGTACGCTTGCGTACAG